TTTTCCTGAGAAACCACTTTGAAGATATCAGCACGTAGTACAACAACCATTGCTAATTTCTTACCACTTTGTCTGTAATTCAGTATTGCTTGTATTGTTCTTATACTATTTTGTAAATGGATGTCTGTTTGTTAATATGTTTTCCTTCTTTTATTTTTTTAAAATAAATTTAAAAATAAACAAAACCATAATCAAAGACTGCTTCTTAGGTATTTAGCCATTATGTATTTTTAAACATACTTATAAAACATAATTACAGTTTACAGTTACATCATTACCATCCAACTCTAGTTAAAGGCTGCCATGTTTATGGCTTGATAGGTTACTTGTGTAATAATCATAAATTTATATCAAACCCACAATTCAGTAACTGATGACTCATTGTCCATCAAAATTTAAAGAGAAAATTTAATCAGGAAGGAATCTGTTTTGTGTGCTTCTGCATATAAATATTATATTTTTTCATAAAAGAAATGTTACTTCACAGGAAGTAATAATGTGTATAATATGATTAACCTCAAGGGAATTAGTCTTGTAATCCTGAAGAAGCTAAATATAATATTTATATATGCATTTCTTTTTTTTTTTTTTTTTTTGCACCAGGAATCAAACTCAGAACTTTATGTTTGTCAGGCAGGCCCTGTGCCGCTGAGCTAGCTTCCTGGCCTACAATATTTATATGGATGAAGCTAAATCAAAAGTTTGCATAGTAATTTCAACTTATCTTTCTCCAGAAAAAAATGATGTATGGTATTATTCATTGACTTGCTAAAGACGTTTATTCTCAGTTTCATAAACATTTATGTCCTCATGTTGTAGTTTCTCTTCTATTGATTTTAGCCAGAAAAAGAGACCGCAGAATTTTCAGTTTCACAGGGGTTAGCCTAATTGTATGGTCAGAAATTCTCAGCACCTGAAATAAGAGGAAAAAAGCAAGCACAGAACAGTGGTTTGGGAGAGACAAACCTCTGTAATTGTGCCATATTCATACTACTTTAGAAGTAAATCAGGAAAATTACAAAAAGTATTAGCATCCAAATGGCTCTTTCACTTTAAAAAATTTACATAATGTATTATGAGGTTTAAACAATCACGACACATGTAAAATAGAAATTTTACATTTTAGGTGTCACAATCAGCTAGCTAATAGATGAGAGATTAATAAATTAAACCTTCCACCAACACCGAATAGTTAACCACATGCATGTATAATTCTGACGACTTGCAATGTTAACAATGCATCTGCAAGAGAAAAGCACCTGTATTTTTCTTTACAATTTGACAATAGCAGACCGATTAAAAATCGTACTGTGAAGAATAATGGGTATGTGATGTCTTATACCTGAAACTGCTCTAGGCAAAAGCCCAGGGAGCACTCTGAAATAGGTTTATTAAAAAGGTGAATATATATAATGAATTCCAAGTACTGCATTAATTTATAATTGGTACATTTTGTAGGATATGAAGGTCAACTATCTATGGTGATTTAGGATGCTAACACACATCTGAGAAGACAAAAATGATGAAAATGTCATTGATCTCAGATTTAGTTTGATATCCTATGAAATTAGCAATATACCCAAACCAAAAGAAAAGCAATCACAGGACTTGGGAAATATTGCCTAGATAGAACACTCACAGTTCAGAACTTGAAACAGTATTTGAAACCTTTAGTGTAGGATGTAAGATATTACTTAACACAAATAATATCCACCATGTTTTTCTATTTGCAAATTGAATTAGGGTATTTCCCTAAGTAATTAGAGTTGAGAGACTGACTCACTGGTTTGTTCTTTTTCCAGTGTTTTCTCATTTTAGTTGCCACTGTTGCTTCCTTGATATAAATCTCAGATTTATTTCACTGAATAGATATAGAGAAGTCATTCTGGCTCTTATATTTGAATAATTCCTATGCGTGAATATTTTCATACAGTGCATAGAATATTGAGTATATTCATATTTTAGGACTTGTAATATTAAAAATAACTATCAGTCTTCAGGAATTAGTACCAGAAGGTAAAGAGCATTAGGTTTCATAGATATAATAATGTTTGAAATACATATAGCCCTTTGAGTAAGGCTACAGCCTACAAAACAATTCATTATCTAAAACCACATATTTATTTGTGAAATTCCTAGGGCCAGGGATATAGCTCATCAGCACAAGTGACTGCCTGCCAAGCGCAAGGTCCTGAGTTCAATCCCCAGTACCAGAAAAAAAGCAACTTATTTTATTTGTGAAATTTCCAAGTTCTGTAATTATCAACTTATATTATCAGTGTTGTCACATCATAGTAGGTTTAAAGACTCAGCTTTTACATCCCTGAAGTGCTTATTGTGTTGGCTTTGTTGTAATGACAGTGTTAGAATTTACCCCAAAACTCTGAAATATAGAGAAAATAAATCAGCATATAATCCTCATATTTTGGAAATCACAGTACTAGTCTACATAATACAATCACAGTTCTATATCTCATATTTTCTTTTTTCTTATAGTTCTATTCTATATTACTTCAAAATCCTTTTGAATAACATTTCACTAACTGGGCCTATTAATTCTATGTAAATTCACATGCCAAAGATTAAAATTGGACCCATTCACCATGCACTAAACCAGAATCAAAATGGATGAAAGATCTACATATTAAAACAAAAAGTTAAATCAGTTGGAAAATAGAATAGGTAAAATTGTTTTTTTATTTTAAAGAAAATTAAGAAAACCAATAAAAATGATACAGAATTTCAAAACCAGATGATAGGAAATTAACAATTGTTATTATTTTGCATATTGTTATCTTCAAAGTAGTTCCTCAATACCAGATACAGTCATGCAAAATTGATCAAACAATATAAGCACTGACTGGTCCTTTCAATGAACTAATACAAATTAGTAGTACAATTCTCTTAGCTATCTTGTGT